GTACAGTAACTGAATGTTCTGTTCTTCTAATTTTATCCCCAACCCCGGAGTGTTCAGAAGAAATATTTGCACCACGCATGAAAGGCAAATGGATTAAATTTTAAGGTTCAAGGTGGTTTTAAGGCATGGGTTACCAGTGGATTAGTCAGACTTGTCATAAGGTGCATTGAACGGAAAATTACAGGCATGATATCTCTGCTATTGTATATAATATGTCCATTAAGTGATTTTCCAGCAAACATTTTTTGACTTTTTTACCCCAAAAGTTTCTTCCGTTCAATTCTTATCTATGAGATCTAAACTTAGTTAAATTTCTGTAATTTGTTGTTAAATGCAATTTCTGCAAACAACTAACTATTTAATTTTGCGTAAAAGCTACATGAAATTATACTGTTTAGCCGTAAATCATAAAAAAGAGAAAGCATCATGCTTTCTCTTTTCAAATCTAGTAGGACTTAAGCAATGGCATTGCTTAAGTCCTAGCAGTTGTTCCCCATGTCTGCTAAGGAGGAAATAGTTTGCTCTTTTCAAGAAATTGTTCTTGCCCATTGCGGTTTCAAACCAAGGATAGCAGCAAGTCTGTCGTGGTCATATACTGCTATTTCAGTGCAAACGAAGCATAGGCGCACAAGTCAGCGCTTTCGTTTAGTCAGGTGCCGAAAATGAAGTGGAGGGCGTCCATGTTCGCTCCGGCTCGAAAAGGTAGAATCAGTTGTGCAGTAAAAGTAATGCGAAAAACCTGCGGGGGCTGGGGAAAGAAAGGCGTCTTATTTTTCTTTGGCTTGTTCTATTTTCGCGACGTGGTACAGGCTACGAAATACTGACAAGCTCAGTATATGTCTTCACCACCGAGAGTCACTTGCCCTTAGCCGGACACGCCCCTCACCTATCAGGTTTCGTTCCTAAAGTTATTTCAAAGCACAGAACCAAACCTAATCAGCGGCCGAAGGCAGAAAAGGGGATGAGCAAACGGATGTCACAGCATATTTTGCAAGAAACTGGTATCCTTGTGCCTATCGGCTCAGGAACGATTAATTACTACTAGAATTAATATCAGGGTCAGAATTTGAGGGCTACAATGGGAGGGAAGGAAGAAAAGGAAACCGCCGCGTACACCTGTTAAGTCTTTTATAAACTTTCTCGTCCTGACGGTTTCAAGATATAGAGTGTTTTCACATGACGTCACGGCGGCCATATTGGTGTCCCAAAACAATGAAACGACGGCCATGTTGGTGTCCCAAACCAATCCTGTGGGAGTTGAACTCCTTTCTTATGCAAACGCTATCTTTTGTTCCAATAAATTTGCATAGATGCTGGCCACGTGAGTGAAAACACTCTATTTAATTTACAGTGTCTGTTGCAGGTGTCGAATTAATCTTACAGCAACTGGAAACGTGGCCACGCCTGCTGAAACTGAGATTGCTTGTAGGATGAAAGGCCATAGCTTGGTATATTCACGAGCGCGTTTTGTCCAGTGAACTGAGTCCGTAGTTTTTCTTAAAGAAGGGAGGGGTTGGGTCAAGTGAATAGTTCGGGGAACGTTTGCTCTCTTTAGAGGAGGAGCGGGGGGGGGGGGGTGGGTATATTTGTTGATATCAGGAGTTCTGGCCTGGATAGAGTCGTTGTAAAGCTATTTTTGCTTCGGAGTATCGGTTTACCGGAAGCTGAGCAAGGAAAAGTCAATGGTGCATTTATGGAATAATAATAGAGATTCTCATGGTCTAACAGTGCGAAGATTAGACTTCTGGTAAGGTGGCAACGATCAAGGCCCGCATTATAATTCACAATAATTGAAGGTCATGACGTAAAAAAAGCGACTGAAATGGTGGATGCCATGCAATCCTCTCGGGTGGGGGCGGCGTACTTGGCCTTAACGGTTGCCCCTGCGACAGAAGGCAAGCATGCCCAGATTGTCCACGGGTTGCTAAATGAGACCGTCCCTTTCCTAGTACCCGTTCCATATCTTATAATTAGACCCCGGAAAATTTCTCGAGATTGCAACATCATTTTGGGCTTAAAGCTTCCAAAGTCCAACAATAATAGCCCATGTTCGCGGCGGCCTTTTTTTTTAAGTCAGTCAAGTTCTTAACCAGGCCTTAAACGGCCAGTTTTAAGTGTCGATAACAGTTAAAAAGGCATGCAAGCCTCATGCAAAAGACAGTGGGAAGGAAGTGCACATCGGTGATGGGGAAAAAGGAGAAGCCCACAGTTATTTAGGGGTGGATCTTTCGAAACATTCTTATTCTCTTGGACAGATATGCATTGTTTAAAGTTTTAGACAAACCAGGTGTAAATTTATAGTAACAAGCTGTTAAATATACATCAGCAAGATTTTTGCGAATCCTATTTTTCGTTGGAGACTATCGTTTACTGGCTGGTCACGCAATCAAAGGTAACGTACTTTCCTACGTTTGTTTACTCACCTTTCGCTCAGCAATAGACTGCGTTCCACAAAGGATGCAAATTGCGCTACAAATGTTTTGCTATTCGGCTCACTTTTTATCTCAGGTAAGGCACTGCAAAGCTGATTCACGTACGAAGATTCGAGGGACAATTATTTCTTGATGTTATTCTGATTTCGCAGTCACGGGAAAACAGACCTAGACTCAGGTCCACTCGCAGACGCCATGGTACAATCTACAAGATCTCAAGAACAGAAATTACCCATGGACGGCCTCTCCTTTTGAAGATTGCGTGTATTTCATTAAAACAGGTACATATTAAAAGAATCTTGTTAGTTTCGCCCTTTTAACGAGCTCAAATCGATGTATAAAACTAAGGTGATGTGCACGTGTCAACTGACCCTGGGGTCAATTAGCGGTTGTTTGGGCAAAATAACCTCAAAATAATCAATCTATTTTACAAGCGTTCGCGAGAACACCAGACTAACTTTCAGATAATGTTGAAGTACTATATCTCATTAGGTAGTAAGCGGGATTTGGGGTGATTTGGAGAATTCCCTCATATAGAAAATTCGATTTTGGTTTTAGCGGTAAATTGTTGTACTTATAAGCATTATGCAAATTACGTTTCAAAATTCTGCTGGTTCGTCGATATTTTATGCTCTAAATCTAAAAAATGTGCCGTTCAGAAATTGTTAGATATCTGCTTTTTGAGATTTAAGTGGAAGATTGCCAATATATTCGCTCGTTTATGAAAGTCAGCTCATTTCTGTCGCTAGGCTATATTGCCGAGTTCGGCCGCTAATTTTAGGCCCGCAGACCGTTGAAATCGAAAATCTTAAATAATTCCCAAACTCGGCCGCATTTTGAAATTTAAACCTCAGCAGTGTTATAAACTCATTAAAACCTTATTACAGACTTAAAATGAGGTTAAGTTAGGTTTTGAGCTGTGGCCACGATTTGCCGATTTTGCTCGATTTTTCTGTGCATTCGCTCTTAATTCTTTGAAGCGATTAGTAATACGTATATTCTTAAATAAAATGCAGAAAGCAGCAAAAAATGTCAATTTTGTGGTGATTTATGTGTCTTTAGAGCAAGGATCCCCAACGCTTTTTGTATCAGAATACTGCAAGGAATATGCCCTTTGCACACAAAGAAAAATTAATTATTTTATGATGAAATACTGGATAGAGAGAGCTAGGATTTTGTAGGGAAAAAAATTGGGATACGTGTTAACGAATTTCTTGCTACGCATTAAATGACGTAGAAAATAGTGAAAAACTGTTTGCAGAATGTGTCGGCAGGTGTTTTAATGTTAACCATTCCCATTTTTATCTATTCAAAATACCTTTCAATCAACCAATTTCTCTTAATGGACAGTCCAGCAATACTTAACTAAAGACGCTTTCAAGATTCAGTTGCCAACTATATAAGAGACATCGAGAATACTTAGCATCAGCTAATATCAGCCTGACATCAGTTACTTGAGGGAAAGACATAATACGTGAACACTAACTGAAGAACCGTTATAAGGAAACATATCCCGAGTCACGGTAAAACCATGATGTCCTTTTTAATAACTAAATTTGCATTGTTCTTTTTTGGTCTACGGCAAATTTATAAAAAATAATATTATTTTTAACCGATATCCTTAACAAGAGAGAGAGAATTAAAAAGGGAGAGAGAGAATGAATTTAAAGCAGTTATTGCACGATTGTACAGGTCTTTTTCCCCTGCAACTGATTATTGGGAAGGAGGAAGGGAAATTTGTAAAAAGAGGTTACAGTATGTGTGGGCCGGTTTTTTTACGTGAATAATTCCCATATATTTTTATTATTATAATTGCTTCTTTACTAACCCAAAAGCCTTATGCATCAGTCCATGCCAATATTGGGAAGTGAACTTATCAAGAAGCCTTTCACAACGTCGCTTGTTAAAACAGTTTAAGTTAGATCTATTCTCGGTTTGATCGACATTGCTTATTCTATCAAGCTATTAAAAGTTTTGCTGCGACAGCAACGATTTATGATCACCAATTGAAGAACTTTATGAGAAAACCCGCCTACAGAATTAAAGTAAAAACCATGGTCTCTTGCTTTACTTTTCGTACGTTTATTCTCATTTAACCACCATGCAAATGTCAAAGCTTAGTATAAAGAGGGTAAACGTGGACTATGTTGTGGCTGTTGCAATAAGTTTTTATTTTGTTATTATATTTTCTTTCCTTTCTTTCATGTTCTTTTTGGAATCATGCGAGACAAGCGAAAACTGAGTATGCGGTAACAAAATTTAATTTTATTAATTTTTGATGGTAACATAATACGAAACCGAAAGCAAGTTGTCCTTACCGTATGCGAGTTTCTCGCAATTTTTGCTAAACGTATAAAAATGACTCAGTATTTAATTTTGCTCAAACAAGGTTCGAATATTATCAGTTATAACTCTCAACAAAGATCTAATGTAAGCAGGAGTTTCTTATTCATAAAAAAAAAACGCTCAGTATCGCGCGGGTGTCCTTTAACGAACCAAGGTTACCCAAAAATACGCTCGGAATTAATGGAATTGTCTTTTTTTGTTTTTAAATTTCAGGTTTGAACGATGGCTGCGCACAACTCTAGCCGGTTTTGCTACCAAGATTGCCTGATTGCTGGCCTTTCAATCGATACCCAACTCCAGTTACTGAACATTAGCAAATACGTTTTCGGTCCTCTGAATCTTATTCTGGCCTTTTCGTCATTTGTCTTAAATACGCTTGTTATCATAGCTGTTGCACGAACCAAATCCCTTCAATATCCCGCGATGTTTATGATATGCAGTTTGGCAGTGACTGACACAATTTTTCCTGTGTATTTCATGCACAGATTCGTAGAATTATCCACATACGAACGCTTCACGTGTCGAAACGTGCAGCCTAGGCCTGTTGAATCTGCCTTCAGTGCTCTTTGTGTCCAAGCCACACTCGGTAACCTGGCAGTTATCAGTAGAGATCGCTATTTGGCAGTGCGAAGTCCTTGGTGGTATCGCAATCACATGACAAAATCACGTGCTTTTAAGGTAGTATGCACACCGTGGTGCATCAGTGTGGTTAGTGCAGTTGCGATCTTCTTATCAGGAACTTTTGGTGGCGTTTACAAACCTTTGGCACAAACTTTAACGCTAGTTCTTTTCGCTATTTACGTAATTATCATAATGTTCTGTTATCTTCGCATTCATTTTCGAAAAACTGTTGAAGTAGGAAACCCAAACGACGCTCGTTTGAAAAGGGAAAAACGATTAACTAACACAGTTGCTGGGATTCTTTTAATTTTGGTATTGACCTACTTCCCAGCGCTTCTTGTCCCATTTGTTTTGTCTGCGAAAGGACTCTATAAGAATTCTCTGCTTTTTAAGCCTTTCTACGCTGTTTTCATCCAATTAAATGGAGTTTTAAATCCTTTGTTAAACCTCGGTCGTTCTAGAAATATGCGCAAAGCTGTTAGAGACTTGTTTAAATGCTCTTCCCAAGCGCAGCCATCATCAGCTGTCAACAACAACAACAACAACAACAACAACAACAACTACAACAAAAACCATCACAGGCTGTCTCATACAACAGCGAAACCGCAATAACAGCCCAAAAAAGTAACAACATTACCGAGGCAGCAACTGCAATGACATATGAGGATAACAATAAAAGCAAAAGCGATTTAACCAACTATCGCACTACCAACCTAAATGAAATTTAGAGGGAGACGACTCTTACAACGGTTAAGAAAGTGACCACAATTGAAAAATAACAAATAATAAGGGAGATAAACAAGACCTTGTGTGCTTAATGCCAGAGCACCCGGAACACTCCGACGAAAATATGGAATTTTGAATAAACCACTGAAATTAAATACTTCATGTACATGTAAACGTACCCACCATTTACAGCCACATTTATCAATGCATTATTAGAGCATTTTAGCCGTGTAGCATTTTCCCGGAATTTTTTTTTTTTATCTCAGAGAAAACAAATATTAAAACATTTTAAAGCGAAAATGACGATTTAAACTCGAAATTCAAACAAACAGACGAACAAACAAAAATTCACTTCAATACAGCCATGTAGAGGACCATTTTTTGCTGTATCAAAATTCTTAGCTTATATAAATTGTTGTCAATGCACTTGTGTACATTTTCGTTAGCCTTTAACAACACCCTTAAAATGTTTAGAACTGATAAAACGAGCCTTAATGACTTTTTGGGGACGACCGAACATTTTACTGGGCAATGTAAATGTAGCATTTACGTGGAAGGCAACATGGAACTTTTAAGTGGCGAAAAGAGCATAACGTAAAAAGACTACCACTTGAATGTTTCGCCATTTTGTTCTATTATTAGTAACAAAATGGCGGAAAATTGAACTTTCAAAACCCTAATATCTTTTGAGTGGTTAGGCCTATTTCAAAAATTTTTTCACTTTTGACATCCTTATGGTGACCTCTTTCAGAAACCATCAATAGATATCCCATAATATCGAAAACAAAATTTGGCAGGAACTTTGTGACGTCTTTTCCCGCCAAAATGCCAAAATTTGAAGAACAAAACACATGCGTTTTTTTTGGAATGGTGAGTTCTATATTGTTGCAAGATTTCAAGTGAATTGCGTTGAAACTAAAAAAGATGAATGAAGGTGAGAGTTTTTTGATGTCACATATGCCCACCGTGACGGACCTCGGTATCTAACATGGAAAGTCATGGAAACGCTACCACATCTCGCGAGGAAACTACTCTGTTAATTGCAGAGACAGTTACACACAATTAAGGCCGCATATGTGCAGGGTAAACGACTTGTTGAATGTTAAAGGCTGGGGCTTCATGCACACAAGCGTTTTGCGGCAAGCCTTTCCTGTTGACCAGGAAACGAATAACTTTGTTAGGCAAGTGCATAACCAGGTGTTTAATCTACTTTACATCCTGTTCCGCTTAGACATAATTCTCCCCTTTTCACCAATCTCAAGCGAGGTTCTTACAGAAATGCTCCATTTGAAGACAACTGCCCGTGACGTGACGGAATCGACAGCTTGTTAAGAATTCTTGCGGAAATCTGATCCTGCCAAACTCTCCTTTATTGTCCCACAGATACGGCTGACATCAGGTAGGGAGCAAGCATTAGCGAGCAAAAAGGGAACAAATATTTTTTTTACGGTGTTTTGCATGAACAGAAAGTGTACTCACAAAAATTCTTTATTGCTTCGTCTAAGACACACTCCTCTGCTCTATGAGAGTACGTTAGGAAAGAGGAAGATAAACGTCAGAACGGTCAGAACTGATGCGCAACCTTGTTTCCGGAAGGCGGCCTCTCCCAATTTCTGATGGAACACCGCTGCGGACGAGGTTGTCGAGTGCGGGGCCATTTCAGTTTGCTCTTTATTGGATCTCTACCTTTCATTTTATAAGGTACTTTGTTTTGATATATTCAAATTCGACAATAACAAAATAATGCACTTTCACTGGTTGTAGAGCAGTTTGACGACCATGTTCCCGGTTGGTACACACAACCTGAAAAACGGCAGGTAGGGAGAGAAACCCCTGACTAACTGCTCGTTGGTAAAAACTGCACTCATCTGTCTTTTCTACAAAAATTCCCAGTCGGTTAAAGGCTCAAAGACAACTGCCGAAGCTACCGTGGTTTTCTGACAAAAACGTAGTCGCAATCTATTAGAAATTTATCTTTCATTGTTTCTATAAAATCCCTCCAGTTGTATGGTCGAGAAATACATTGATAATAATAATAATAATAATAATAATAATAATAGTAATAGTCATAATAATAATAAAAATAAATTAAAATCATGCTAAAAGTATTTAATGGCTCCGTCTTAAATTAATTTCTATTTTTTAACTTCTTCGGAGGTCTTACACTTTAACTGAATGCGGAAGTCAGTTAAGTTGTTGTACAATAAATATGCACGGACAATTGTTCTAGTGATAACTTAAGAGAAACGCTTTTTTTAGTCTTTGAGAACAAGCCCTTCCTCCTCTTCATCCGCGAATCAAGAATATGCCCATGTCACGAAACAAAAAATCAATTTATGATCAACCAAGGGACAGAGAAAAAGAGTCAGAAGATTTCAGTGATAGTATCCCGACGCTTATGAATAAATTTCTTACTGCGCATTGCGAAGAGGAAAAGGGAAATTTGAAAAGCATTTTCCTCGTGTTTATAGAATCCGTGGGTAGATGTTTTTGTGTTAACCATTCACATTACTTTCCATTACAGTTATCTCCCTTAATTAACAAAGCTCTCTTGATGCACTGGTCGAGGACTGCTTGACTAGAATCACTTTCAACATTGTTGCTTACTCTTAATCAGGGGGGGCTGGCAGCGAGGTCTGGAACCCAGTTTACATGATCGCCCCAGCTAAGAAATTTGGCCGAGTGAGAGTGAGTACCATTTACCTTCAAAACAAATATGGCGGAGAATGCAGACATGGAGGGACGATGAGTTTTTGCTCGGTTTTGAGTTTTACCGCGTCCAAACACCAAGAAAAGATTTCAAGATTATTTTTAATGGAATTTTTGGACATCAGGAGGCGTCATATATGAACAGTTCATGGGTGATGACACTGATCGTCACTGATTCGGCATCTCGGCTAGTTCAGTTATTTATAAGCTTCGTGAATTTTCGAGCAACCAGCCTAGTCTCCATCTCTTATATTTTTCCACCCACAGTGGTATTAAGATCTCTCTTCCTTATCCTAAACATATGCTACGAGCTCACTATATTAGTATGAGTCTTGCAACAGTCATGTGGGGATGTTCATTAAACCAATTTTCTACTTCGCTGTTCGTAAGTTTGTTTGTAAACTGGGAGCCACAACAAATATTTATGGGCGAAAATACAGAATACAGAGCCAATTTAGTAAAAGCCAGGGTACATTTTCCAGTCACTTTGCTTCACATATACTGGGTTTGTCAGTAAAAGCTATTTTTAATATCAGAAGGCTGGGAGGGGTTTACTGAACCTTCAAAACCTTCCCTGGAATATCATTGGAGTGATAATCAATAAATTTCCAACAATACTGTATTTAGTAGTTTTGTATTAGATAGTGACTTCGGTTTCAAGTCTTTCCTTGAAATTGTCTGTACAAAAATTACCCTGTAGTTCTGAATTTTACTTGAAATGATTATAATGGTTTAGTGTGGGGACAAGAGGCTGGCAGTTGTTAATAAGATTGAGTACGATCAGAGACGTGTATGCATTGAGAAAATCCCTCAAAGGACTGAAGTACAAGAAACAGAAAAAAGAAAATTGAATGTTTTGCAAAGTTTATAAAGAGAATCAGCAGGAGCTTGAAAAATGTACAACTTCAATTGTTTGTGTATGAGTTATGAGTTTGATTTACAACAAAAACAAACAACTAAAGGTAAAATTGATTTTTTATCAACCATCAAAAGAAGTTATTGTCGTTTAAGCCCAATCCCCCCAGCAGTTCTTTCTACGATACTACCCTTAGCTTATCTGGCCTAGATGGGTATGTGCTGCTGATTTAGGGTGGTGGCCATTTTACCTTTTAGAGTTTTGAACAGGGTGTCTGTTTGGGCTGTGAAGGTTGATGAAGAGCAGTCTATAGTTACATTTTTGGTACTACCATTTTTTCCCCTAGGTTTTTTCCATGTTTCTAAGTTTTAAAGCTAACTTAATTCTGTATGCTAAATGAAATGAATCAGAATTATCAAATAAGGTCTCTTGGCTTAAAAAGGGTAAGGAAATAAACCGTCAATGTGTCCTACTACCCATACTCTCTTTCAGTGCAAGCCCAGGGAGGTGATCTCACATTTTAATACCCTTTTACCACCTGTTGTCACAGCAAAGTCAGTGAATGTTTATGGTCTCTCTTTGCCTGCCGCGACACAAGTTTCCAACTGTTATTCAGTTGACTACAAATAAATATACTATCTTAATAATATGATTTTACATTTTTTTTTCCAAGGCATCCTATGGTGTTTTTCATATCCAGTTGAGAGCATTTGAGAGGATTTGATTTTATTAACTACATTTATATGCAGACACAAACTAACCTGGCAGGTTGATGTCCAAAGGTTTACAAAATTACATGCAACGGTATGGCAAAAACTGACCACAGTGGCCGAAGGAAAGGCAAAAATAGAAATGTCACCATTTTCCTGACTTTATAAATTCCCTTTAACGCATATTTAGCCAGATGTGGTCCTTGTCAAAACATGCAAACTTGAACATTTATTTTCTGAACCTGGCTAATACCATCTTTAATCTTGTTCCAAGGAAAAGTGTAGTTTTTGGAATTTGTAATTTTTCCCTCCTTGTTTGCAACAAAACACACTTGAATGAGGACTCAAACTGAAGGCATTGTAATAACTGCTGTCATGAAAAGAGAATTCCAAACACCAAAAATAATTACTCTTTCATTTGCCTAACATTCATTTGTTAGAAACTACGGTAAAGTTTAAATTAAATCACACGAAGAACGAAACTTTAACATATCAACATTTGCAAAATCAAGAGAGTATGATCTCCTGGCAAAATTTATTTAGCTTCTAGTACATAAAGAAATACATGAACTACTAGATTTGACCATGCCAGTCAATCATCCAACGCAACTCTGCCAGGATAAGTTCACAATCAAGGATGTAAAATCAAGAATCTCAATCATCATTTCGTCTCGTCTTAAAGGTGTAGTAAAACCGTAAACAACTCTGACAACTCTCCTACTCGACCACAGCCACTGCACTTTTTTTAATATCGCGAAGAATTAATTTTGGGCCTTTCACTTGAAAATTTATACTCTTCTACATACGTATTAGAGAGCTGGCCCTTCTTTTAGCCTTGTGGGTCTTCTAAACAGAAACACATAGTCAAAAGCTCGGAAATCGAGGAACATGTTCACTGGTCTCGTTCTTCGTTCTTAGCGTAGTAAACCGCATGTAATGACAAACGCAAGACCAGAAGAAAGGAAAACGTAAGCTCCACATTACCGCGGAAAAAGATTGGTTACGGCAAAGAAAGCAATGACCAGAACTAAAATTATAAAAGCGAATTCACTTCACACGGTCGAATCGCTGCGAAGATGAGTTGTTTTTTTTCCCAGCCGGTTTCGCGCATGCTCGCTACAGTTGTCGAATGATTGACAGATTTCTTAACTGGGGCGATCATGGAAAGCCGAAAAGCGGCAAGATCAAAGGCCGTTGCCAGCCCCCCCTGCTCTTAATGCTTCACATAAGTTAACAGGATAAAGGAGACCGACAACGCTCTGTGGTGATTAAAACAGTCCGATTCTTGGTTTTATATTGCTTATTTTCTCTAGCTTAAAAGGCGTGGCGGGCGACAGCCACTGTAGATTCACGATCACCAGAAACAGAAGGAATTTATGAGGAACAGAATCAAGGTAAAAACCATGGGTTCCCGGAATAACATTTTATTTTCTTCCTTTATTACTTTCCTTAATTGAATTTTTTGTGTGCGTGTAGAATCCGATGAGATAAGGCACGCTAAGGAAATTTTTTAAAGTAACATATATCGCAAGACCGTCAGTCAGAAATATTTCAATCTAACTGTATTCGAGTTTCTTACAATTCTTAAAAGCGCGCAGGATGTTCCAGTTCATAACCGCATGGTCGCATTCAACGAACCCAATTGGCCCAGCATATATACTCGGAAGTTGGATAATTACGTTTTTTATTTTCACTAGTTTAGGATAGAACCATGGCTGCACAAAATTCCAACCGGTTTCCTTCTCAAGCATGCCTGATTGCTGACCTTTCAAGTGATGTTCAACACCAGATACTTAACATTGGCAACTAAGTTTTCCGTCCCCTGAATTTTATTCTGGCTTTTTTGTCATTTGTCTTTAATACTCTTGTTATCATAGCTGTGGCACGAACCAAATCCCTTCAATATCCCGCGATGGTTATGATGTGCAGTTTGGCAGTAACTGACATAATATTCCCACTGTATTCTATGTATAGATACGTAGAAGTATTCACCCGCGAACACAAGTGTCCAACATCGCATATCATATGCACCCACTCTATTTTGCCATCGGTGGTCTTTGTACCTTGGCAACGCTTGGTAACCTGGCTGTTATCAGTAGAGATCGCTATTTGGCAGTCCGAAGACCTGTGTGGTATCGTAATCACATGACAATATCACGTGCTTTTAAGACAGTGTGTTTACCGTGGCTTATCAGTATGGTATATGCAGTTGCAACGTAATTGACAATACGTTTGGGAGGAGTTTACGCACCTGTGGTACTAGCTTTTGTTCACTTTTTTCCCCCTGTTATGTAATTGTCATCGCGTTCTGTTATCTTAGTATTTATTGTAGAAAAAATATTCAAATGGGAAATCTAAACGACGCCTTTCTAAAAAGGGAAAAACGATTAGCTAACACAGTTTCTTGGATCCTTTTGATTCTGGTATTGACCTACTTTCCTGGCCTTCCTTTTGGAGGTGTTTTGGTTGCAAAAGGAATAAATAGTCTGCCCTTTCGGCCTTATTGCATCATTTTTGTCCAATTAAATGGAGCTTTGAATCCTTTGTTAAACTTCAGTCGTATCAGAATGATGCGCAAAGCAATAAGAGACTTGTTAAGATGCCATCTGCAATTACAGTCATCATGTCACTTGCCAACAATAACAACAACAGCAACAACGATAGCATTGCCTATCACAACAATTCCCATACAACAGCAACCACAGTAATAACCCACACCAGCGGCAACAGCACTGACCAAGTTAACAGCAACAACATATGAGGAAAACGATAAGTGTAGCAATTTTATCAACGATCCCATTCAATACCAGCCTTGTTACAAGATTACTTAGGTTGCGTGCTTGTTAATGAGCAATGAAACGCCAACACTGGCCCTATTGCAATCCTGTAATTATAAAAAAGCCATTATGGGCTGGATAATAATTTAATTTAGTGCTCATTATTGAAAGATGGTTTGTAATCAATAAAATATTCATCAAAACGTGATGGTTCAGTGTCTTTATGTAGTAGGTCATATTAATATATTTTGGTAACTGTACACGCAACTAGCACTAAATTACCCAGACTTCAACAGTAGGGTTAGGACAAGCTCTCAGCTCGCGAGTGAGTTGTGTAAGAGAAATATTATAAGACTTTGTATGGGTAAAATACATCAAAACTTGCTACCTTGTCTGCTTGTTTTGTTTGTGATATGTTCTTAGCATTTCTAGCCGTTTCAGCCCGATTTCAGTGACTTTTAGTTTTACCGTTGATGTCGCTGAAATCCGGCGCTGAAACGGCCAGAAATGTTAAGAACATACCACAAACAAGACAAGCAGACAAGGTAAGACGTTTTGATGTATTTTTATTTCTATTTTAATGCCCTAAATAGCAATCGATAAATTTTCCATACAAACTCTTATAATATTTCTGTTACGCAACTCACTCGCGATGGAAAATTTGTAATTAATTAAAAGTGTTTGCTCCTGATTTGCAGAATGTGTCGGCAGTTGAGTTCTCCCATTTGCAATTGATTATGTTCCAGTTAACCAAGATCTCATGCTCATTATGCATCAATCCAGGAATACATGACTATTTTAAAAACACTTTCAACATTGTTGGCAAATCTTAATGTTTAAAATGATAAAAACGGATACTAGGGAAATACAGAACAGTTCGATTCTTTTTTTTACAATTATAGCAACTGGATAACTTAGTACTGAAATTGAGTGATGAGTAAACCCATTCCATCCCATCCCATCAGGGTCATCTTTATTTAATATTCGTCAATTCTTTTGCATTCAAGGTCAAATCTAAAATGAATATTATTTGGAACCTGATTTAAGTAATTAAAAAGTACTCCTACAAAAGAATTACGGCACGATATCTACCGCTGTATAACCGTGAATCATTTCATACTAGTTCCAGACTGTCAGTAAATAGTGCTTTCACTTTGCTCGTTTCTTACAATTTCTCGCAAAAATGTGAAAACAAAAGACTTTTATTCTTTCAAATCTGTCAGGCTAAAACATGTTGTAACCTGAGGCAAAGAACTATCTTCAGAGTCAGGGTGCCACTGGAGAGACTGGCGGAATTTTTTGAAAATGGGACGTGTCGTGATAACATGGGTTCGTTGAATCGTTGGATTTGTTGAATGTGGCCTTTAACAAACCCAGTTATAAACTCGAAATCCGAAGTTACAAGTTCGTATTTTGTACTTCAGGATTGGACCATGGCTGTGCAAAACTCAAGCCAGTTTTTCTAGGAAGCGTGCCTGATTGACCTTCCAACTGATGTTCAACAACAGATCGATACTAATAACATTGGCAACTACGCTTTCGTTCCTCTGAGTTTTATTCTTTGGCTTTTTTGTCATTTGTTTTAAATACGTTTTTTTTATAATTGTGGCACGAACCAGAAAAATTGAGATTGAAGTTGCTGAATGCGCACTGCGGTGAAGTTGTAGTAATTTTTGGATTATATGTCTTTAATGCTTTCGAGGCAGACCGTAGAGGAGAAAAGCCCCATCTTAAGGGCTTACACAAACCTTAAAGAAATGTCCAGGTAGGGGGGAGGAGAACACTTCACTTGTATTTGACTGGATCATGAACAAATTTACCTCTGGGTCTACAATGAAAATATTCTTGATATATACAAAATTCTCTAAGTGAAATAAAGCAAAACAGGTTTTTCCTACAAATATTTTCTCCGTCGAAGGCGCAAAGATGATTGCCGTGTTACTGGAAAAAAAAAAGAAGAAGAATGAAAGAATAAAGAAAAAACTAGTGGGTCAAAAAATCTTTAATTGATGGTAAATTCTATTAGTAATCTTAATCGAAATCTAAATGGGTAGTATTGTTATTGGTAATTCTGATTTTTAGTAAGATCAATTAAGCGTGTTCCCCTTTTCTTTATTTCTGCTTTGCGGCAGTAATTTAAAAAAGTAATAAATCCATTAAATGCTTTGAAGCAATTACGTATACTCTTAAATGAAATGCGAAAGACAGCCAATTGATTCAATGCAAAAAGTAAATTTTGAGGTAATAACTGTGTTTTTATTAGAACAAGCATCCCCGACGCTTTTTTAATCCAGAAAACAAAGAATGTGCCCATTGCACGCAAAGAAAAATTGATTATTTTATGATGAAATACTGGGTAGAGAGAGAGCTAGGATTTTGTAGCGAAAGCAATTGAGATACGTGTTAACGAATTTCTTGCTGCGCAATAAATGACGAAGAAAATAGTGAAAAACTGTTTCCGACAGGTGTTTCAATATTAAGTAAACCATTCCCGTTATTATCCATTTAAAATTCCTGCCAATTAAACTAACTATTATAACCAATTTCTCTTAATTGATCAATCAAGAAATACTTAACTATAAACACTTTCAACAATGTTGCTAACTCCCAATGTTTGCACTGTACAAGAATATATAAGAGACATCGAGAATACTTAATATCAGTCAATTTCAGCCTGATATCAGTTACATGAGGGACAGCCATAATTCATGAAAACCAACGGAAGAATTTTATAAGAAAACATATCTTGAGTCAAGGTAAAACTCTGATGTCCTTTTTAATAAATAGAAACATGTTTGCATTATTCTTTTTTTGGTCTGCAGCAAAATTATAAAAATTACTATCATTTTAAACCGATATACTAAATAAGAGAGAGAGGGAGAGAGAGAGAGAGAGAACTAAGCATTTCATGAAAATCTACTTTTCTGGTATAGCAATGAATGTCGTCGACTTCGTTCAAATTCTTGATGTCTGAAGTAATATCTAGTTAGCGACCATTAGTAAAAAGTACTAACTATTTGTGCGTTTCTTAAAATTTATGGCAAAAAAATGTAAGGAAAAAAGACTCACCTTTGCTGAAACATGGCTTGAGTGTTACCAGTAACTGACCCTAGGGAAAAGACATAATGGAAACAGGAATTTCTAATAAATACCCATTTTTACCCGCGCGGAATCAAAGTTCCACGTTCTTGTTCAGTTTCCTTTTGATTTTCTCTTTTTTTTAACTTAAGGATGCAATTAAGGCTGGGCAAAACTCCAGCCAGTTTCCCTACAAGGCGTATATTCGACACCACATACTTCACATTGGCAACTACGTTTTCTGTCGTCTGCGTTTTATTCTGGCTTTTTTTTCCTTTGTCTTTAATACGCTTGTTATCATTGCTGTGTCAATAAATGCGTCATTCAACTCACCCATATATGTCACTTATCGAATATCCCTGAATTGAAGTCCCATGTTCTTTTTTCAAATTTCAGGATAGAATCATGGCGGCGCAGAACTCCAGTCAGTATCCCTACGAGGCGTGCCTGATTGATGGCCTTTCAAGTGATGTTCAACACCAGATACTTAACATTGGCAACTACGTTTTCCGTCCCCTGAATTTTATTTTGGCATTTTTGGCATTTGTCTTTAACACGCTTGTTATTACAGCTGTGGCACGAACCAAATCCCTTCAATATCCCGCGATGTTTATAATGTGCAGTTTGGCAGTAACTGACGTAATATTCCCACTGTATTCTATGTTCAGATACATAGAAACATTCACACATGAACACATGTGTGCAGCAACATCGCATGAGCACCCTTTCTATTTTGCCATCGGTGGTCTTTGTACCTTGGGAACGCTTGGCAACCTGGCTGTTATCAGTAGAGATCGCTATTTGGCAGTCCGAAGACCTGTGTGGTATCGTAATCACATGACAATATCACGTGCTTTTAAGGCAGTATGTTTAGCGTGGCTTATCAGTATGGTATATGCAGTTGCAACGTACTTGTCAATACTTTTGGGAGGAGTTTACGCACCTGTGGCACTAGCTTTTGTCCTACTTTTTTTCCCTTTTTATGTAATTGTCACCGCGTTCTGTTATCTTAGTATTTATTGTAGAAAAAATATTCAAGTGGGAAATCTAAACGACATCTTTCTAAAAAGGCAAAAACGACTAGCTAACACAGTTGCTTGGATCCTTTTAATTTTGGTATTGACCTACTTTCCTGGTCTTCTTTTTGGAGGTGTTTTGGTTGCAAACGGAGTAAATAATCTGCCCTTTCGGCCTTATTACATCACTTTTGTCCAATTAAATGGAGCTTTGAATCCTTTGTTAAACTTCAGTCGTATTAAAAAGATGCGGAAAGCAATAAGAGACTTGTTTAGAAGCCATCCGCAATTACAGTCATCATCACTTGCCAACAATAACAACAACAGCAACAACGATAGCATTACCTATCACAACAATTCCCACACAACAGCAACCACAGCAATAACCCATACCAGCAGCAACAACTACACTGACCCAGTAATAGCAATGACATATGAGAAAAACGATTAAATTAAAAGTGCAGCAATTTTATCAAAGATCCCATTTAATACCAACCCTGTTACAAGATTACTTAGGTTGCGTACTTGTTAATGAGCAATGAAACGCCAACATGCCCTATTGCAATTCTGTAATTATGAAAAGGCCATAATGGGCTGGATAATAATTTAATTTAGTGCTCATTATTTAAAGATGGCTTGTAATCAATAAAATATTGATGAAAACGTGATGGTTCAGTGTCTTTATGTAGTAGGTCATATATTTTTTGGTAACTGTACAGGCAACTAGCACTAAACTACCCAGACTTCGACAGTAGGGTTAGGACAAGCTTGCAGCTCGCGAGTGAGTTGCGTAACAGAAATATTAAAACAGTTTGTATGGAAAATTTATCGATCGAGCGAGTTTTAGTTCTACCGTTGCTCTCGCTAAAGTCGGTCTGAAAAGGCCTGAAATGCTAAGAACTTACCACAAACAAGACAAGCAGACAATGCAAGGGAGGAAGTTTTGATGTATTTTTATTTCTATTTTCATGCCCTAACGAAACGATCTACTAAATTTTCCATACAAAGTCTTATAATATTTCTGTTACAAAACCGGCACTTGCAAACTTGGGGTACCTGTGAGGAAATATGGAAAATTTGTAATTAAAGTGTTTGCTCCTGGTTTGCAGAATGTGTCGGCAGTTGAGTTCTCCCATTTGCAATTGATTATGCTTCAATTAACCAAGATCTCATGCTCATCAAGTATCAATCCAGAAATACATGATTATTTTAAAAACACTTGTTAGCTACTCTAAAATTCCAGTATAAATAAAGTTTTATGTTATGTTATTGTTGGCAAATCTTAATGTTTAAAATGATAAAAAAGGATGGCAGGGAAAGAAAGAACAGTTCGATTCTTATTTTTACAACAGCAACTGGATAACTTAGTACTGAAATTGAGTGTTGAGTAAACCCATCTCATCCCATGCCGTCTTTATTTAATATTTGCCAGTTCTTTTGTATTCAAGGTCAAATTTAAAATGACATTTCAGTTGTTATTGACTGGACCATCTCTCAGGATCTACAGTGAAAATATTATACAAAAAATACTCCTAAAAATACTCTGTTACCCCCAAAAAAAAAAAAAGGGAAAGAAAGAAACATAAATTGGGTTACTGGTAATTCTGATTTTTAATAAGATCAATTGAACGCGTTCCCCTTTTCTTTATTTTTGCTTTGCGGCAGTACTTGGAAAAAATGACAAGTCCATTAAATTCTTGGAAGCAATTACGTATACTCTTAAAGGAAATGCGGAAAGCAGCAAAAAATGTAAATTTGTGGTGATGAATGTGTCTTTAACACAAGCATCCTTAACGCTTTTTGTATCCAGAAAACCGCAAAGAATATACTGTTTGCACGCAAAGAAAAATTGATTATTTTATGATGAAATACTGGATAGAGAGAAGGCTAGGATTTTGTAATGAAAGCAATTGGGATTCTTGTTAACGAATTTCTGCTGCCCGATAAATGACGAAGAGATTAGTGAAAAACTGTTGGCAGAATGTGTCGGCAGGTGTTTTAATGTTAACCATTCTCATTATTATTCATTCTAAAAACCTTTCAATTTACCAATCTAGATCTATCTAAATGGATCAGTCCAGCAATACTTAACTAAAGACACTTTCAATATTGTTGCCAACTGTCAATGTTTGCTCTGTACAAGAATATATAAGAGACATTGAGAATACTCAGTATCAGTTGATATCAGCCTGATATCAGTTTCTTAAGGGAAAGCCATAATACGGCGTGGACCCCAACTGAAGAACAGTTATAAGGAAACATATCCCGAGTTACGGTAAAACTCTGATGTCCTCTTTAATAAATATATTTGCATTGTTCTTTTTTGGTCTACGGAGAAGTAAGTATGTCTTGAAAATCTACTTTTGCCGGCATAGCATTTTGGGCCTTAGATCTTTGATAGATCCGATATGCTGTAATTTTTGCATGGTTTTGTCCATGTTTTTTAGGTTGGTTTTGGCCAATTCTTTATTTTCTCTGCGAGATATCAACTTGACACTTGGACTCTTGCCCCTCAGAAGACACGTGGTATGACGTGATTCTGTGGGTGTTAGGAGTTCTGGGTCAGGGCTAAAATCAGAGTGCGCGGATAATTTTCAATCAGAGCCTGATCTCTGGTTGTTACGCCATACTGACGAGCCCCAAAGAGGGCGAAACAGTTGTCTAAGGCTACAATCCCGCTCTGTTTTGAGTTCTTTCGGTGTTGCGTTGATGTCTTGCAGAGTTAATTTTCACGTAGTACGATCAGCATTGCAGTATTCTGCTTGCAGAATTTAATTATGTCTACAATGAATGTCGCCTTCACTCAAATTCTTAATTTTTGAAGTAATATCCACAATAGTTAGGGACTATTAGTAAATAGTGCTAACTATTTGTGCGTTTCTTAAAATTTATTGCAAAAAAAGGTACGAAAAAAAGACTCATCTTTGCTCAAACATGGCTTGAGCCGGTTACCAGTAACTAATCCTAGGCAAAAGACTAATGAAAACAGGACGTTCTTCTTTTTTTCTTTCTTTGTTTTTAACTTCAGGATATAATCATGGCGGCGCAGAACTCCAGTCAGTATCCCTACGAGGCGTGCCTGATTGATGGCCTTTCAAGTGATGTTCAACACCAGACACTTAACATCGGCAACTACATTTTCCGTCCCCTGAATTTTATTCTGGCTTTTTTGGCATTTGTCTTTAATACGCTTGTTATCATAGCTGTGGCACGAACCAAATCCCTTCAATATCCCGCGATGGTTATGATGTGCAGTTTGGCAGTAACTGACATAATATTCCCACTGTATTCTTTGTACAGATACATAGAAACATTCACACACGAACACATGTGTCCAGCAGCATCGTATGAGAACCCATTGTATTTTGCCATCAGTGGTCTTTGTACCTTGGCAACGCTTGGTAACCTGGCTGCTATCAGTAGAGATCGCTATTTGGCAGTCCGAAGACCTGTGTGGTATCGTAATCACATGAAAATATCACGTTCTTTTAAGACAGTATGCTTACCTTGGCTTATCAGTGTAGTATATGCAGTTTTAACGTATTTTTCAAAACGTTTGAGCAGAGTTTACACACCTATGGCAGCAGTTTTCCTTCTAGTTCTTTTTCCTTTTTATTTATCTGTCATCACGTTCTGTTATCTTAGTATTTATTGTGGAAAAAATATTCAAGTGGGAAATCTAAACGAAGCCCTTCTAAAAAGGGAAAAACGACTAGCTAACACAGTTGCGTGGATCCTTTTGATTCTGGTATTGACCTACTTTCCTGGTCTTCTTTTTGGAGGTGTTTTGGTTGCAAAAGGAGTAAATAATTTGCCCTTTCGGCCCTTTTACGTCATTTTTATTCAATTGAATGGAGTTTTGAATCCTTTGTTAAACTTCAGTCGCATTAGAAAGATGCGCAAAGCAATAAGAGACTTGTTTAGAAGCCATCAGCAATTACAGTCATCATCACTTGCCAACAATAACACTACACTACCACCTATTACAACAAATCCCATGCAACATCAACCACAGCAATAACCCACACGAGCGGCAACAACACTACCCAGTAAAAACGATTATAAAAAGTGCAGAATTTTTATCAACGATCCCGTTTAATGCTAACCTTGAAGCTTACAAGATTACCTAGGGCAAATAAAGACTTTCGGACTTATTAAACGCAATCTGTGGAAGTGTCCAAACTCAGTTAAAGAAACCGCGTGCACTACACTTGTGGGACCAAAACTCCAGTATGCCTGTAGCACATTGAACGTGCACTACCAGAAAGATGAAGCCGCAACCTCGTTCCCAGAGTTCTCTTCTCCCCTGGGAACGAGGTTAAGCCGCTCTAATGCGGTGAGCGGCTTGCTTTGTTACGGAAATTACCATCGAACAGCGAGCGTGGCGGGAAAGCTGCATGATTTAAAGTTGGACACACTTGAAACAATGAGAAGATACGCAAGGCTGTCGGTTATGTATAAGATGTGCCATGGTTTCCTGAATTCCAAATAGAGAAAGGAGAACACGAGGAAGCCATAATTGATTTTATTCTACCGAAAGGACACAAGGACATTTTAAGATTTTTTTCTTTCCCAGGACAACAACTGAATGGAACAAACTCCCGATAGAAACTCTTACCAGTCAATCTCTTTCTATCTTTAATACAAACTCCTCTACTACCTTTTACCAGCAGTTTAAAATATCAGTTTTTATTATCATCTTGTATACTTTTAGTGTTTTGTGTCTCGTGGATGTTACCGACAGAACCATATTTCTCTTGAGATTTAGATTTAGGTTGCGCACTTGCAAGTAAGCAATGAAACGCCAACATGCCGAATTGCAATTCTGTGGTTAAAAAGCCATTATGGGCTGGAAAACAATTAAAATTTAGTGTTCATTATTACCGTCATTTAAAACAAGAGATTATTTTAAGAGGTCTCTAAGTTTCCATTATGTTTGTTTTTGCTGTTTTTTTTGGAGCAATTACGCTTGAACAAAATGCTGAAGACTGCTGAATGGTTGTAAGAAATGCAAATGAAAGCTTTTCTATTGATGACAGTTAAAACTGAGGAAATTGCAGTCTTTCAAAATAAGCTGCTCCTTCTCTTTATCTGGAAAACAGAAATATGTCCAGAGCACGAAACAAAAAATCGATTAGTAATAAACTGTCGGGACAGATAAGGAAAGAGCAGCATTTTGTGAAAGCAATTCCGAAGCGGGTAAAACAATTTTCTTTCTGCAAAATTGGGAGGAGAAAGGAGAAAATTTGATAAGGCACGTGTCGGTCAGTGTTTTCATATTAAAAGAAAAACATTTCCATTAATCACTTTCCTTTGTAATAAACTTCTCCTTTAATGCTTCGTTAATGTATCCGGTCGAGGACTACTTAACTAAAATCACTTCTTTCAACATTATTGTTTACCCTTAATGATTGAAATGACATAAAAGGATATAAGAGAAACCAACAACAGCTGCCTAAGTGTTGAAAAGGTTCGATTCACTTTTCAATATTCCTTATTCTAGGCTTTTCCTCGAACAGTGTCGATTTATCATCATATCAACAGCTGAGAAGAACCTTATGGAGCAAATCGATACAGAATCAAGGTAACCTTTCTTCTTTATTTGTTTAAATTACCGTCGGTATTGTTTTCCGCAAACAACGGCTAAGTTTTCTTTCTTTCTTTCTCCTTTTTTTTCTTTTTCCATTGGCAAGCTGCATGTACGTGCAATTTCTTGAATATAATGAACGCAATTTCCTAGCTTTACACGTAAAAAAAAAAGAATCCTTTTTTTCTTTTTTTAAATTCGTAGTTGCTGCCAATAACTTCCTTTGGTTTGTTTCCTCCTTCCTTCCTTTCTTCAATATTTCATTGAAATCTGATCTGATATCAGTGTTGCCGTCAATTTTTCAATTTGTCTTTTTTTAATTTCTCAGTTTTTGAAGTAATATATCAAACATGAGATGCAGTGTTTCATCACCAGATGAAACACCGAGAAGAGAGTTGAAAATACGACGCACAGCGGAGTATTTTTGACGAACTTCGAGGTGTTTCATCTGGTGATGAAACACTGTGTCGAATGTTTGATATTTCTTCTCAAACAAAATCATTTTTGAAGGAGAAATTAAGGATGCAAGTACTAAGCAGTGTTTCATCCGATTTCCAAACACTCATTAAACATTAATTTCCTTTGTATTTTCTTAGTGAATTATTAATGAGTTTGAGAAAGTAAGTTCAGTGCTAGACCGCGAGTACAATCAAACCCCGTGTAATACGGACCCTGAGGAGTTCATAGAAAGTGTCCGCATTAACTAGGTGTTTGTATCAAGCGGGTTGAATGTGGAGAAAACGTAAGGGTTTTCTTTCCCCAGGGACAAAGCAAACTGTCTGACGTAATAATGAGGTGTCCGTATAGGGGGGTTTGACTGCAACTGCATGTATTTGAGAACCCTGAGAACGACGGCATTGGAAAACACATGAACAATTAAAAAAAAAATTGAAAAATGTGAAAAATGAACTTACTCAATATTTTTATTTTATTTTGTCTCAAACTTGGCGTGACTATTACCAGCTATAACCCTAAGCAAACACTTGATCGTTAATAATATTTAGTATAGCGGGTGGCAATCGAAGAAACCATTTCACCCATAGCCGGGTTGTTACTAACGATCCTTTTCAACTTCAGGATATAGCTATGATGGCTGCACAAAACTCCAGCCAGTTTACTTACCAAGAGTGCCTGATTACTGAGCTTCCAACAGAGGTTCAACACCAGATACTAAATTTTGGCAGCTACGTTTTTCGTCCTCTGTGCTTTATTCTGGCATTTTTGTCACTTGTCTTAAATACGCTTGTTATCATAGTTGTGGCTCGAAACAGATCCCTTCAACATCCTTCGATGGTTATGATTTGCAGTTTGGCAGTGACTGACGTAATATTTTCTCTGTATTCCATGTACAGATACATAGAAATATTCACACACAAACAAATGTGTCCAAAATCACACCCACTCCATTCTGCCTTCAGTGCTCTTTGTAGCCATGCAACGCTTGGTAATCTGGCAGTGATCAGTAGAGATCGCTATATGGCAGTCCGAAGTCCTTGGTGGTATCGTAACCACGCGACAAAGCCACGTGCTTTTAAGAAATTATGTATACCGTGGTTGATCAGCGTGGTAACGGCAGTGGTAGTTTACTTCTCAAGAACTTTGGGAGGCGTTTACAAACCTTTGGCACAA